ATCGGTAAAAAAAAAAAAAAAAAAAAAAAAGCTCATTTTCACAAAAAGTTCCTTAGTCGAAAGAGAGGGTATACATACGAGTGAAATCATGGCCGAAAGGAAGACAATGCTGAGCACGGGAGATCCATCGTAAGGTTAGTTTACAATGCACTAGTGCACTCGTGTTGTTCCAAGTGGTTGTTGGCCACGGTACAGTTGTTCAAACTATATAGTTACTGCACCTGCGGGGCTTTTGTACGCGGAAGTGTCGTTATAGTCGTCTGTCCGACGTGAGAAGTCCGACGCGGTGGTTAGTGTCCATTTCACTCGGTGGTAAATACGCGTTTGATCGTTCGATGCGGCTGTTACGCAGAGCGGAACGCTTGCGTACGGAAGGGCGGAAAATGTAAATAGACAAATATCAAATAGTACTCCTTTGCTGGTAGTTGCTTTTCATATAGAGTTTTATCAATTGGTCTTTCAGAGGTGACATAGTCAAAGAAAACAACAAGTACGACTCGCACCGTAATTCGCTCATAGTGAATTTTTTGCACGTCTTACTTGAATAACATTACTCTTGACTTGGAAAATTTTACCGATAAATATTTTATGTCTCGATACAACATAGGACGGAACATATCCAAAAGTATTACAACTCAATTAGCAAGTACTACGTGACGTACGTATGAACTGTATATTCCATGGTAATTTACTCTTATTACAAAAGTTTCTAGATTGCACTGTGCTAATAAATAATAAATTGAACTTCACTGAAAATGCTTATAACTTACACGCAAAATTAAAAATTAATTTCTGCATCGACACACTTATGATTTATGTACCCAGTTGAGTTGAAAAAAATTGTGATTTGCTTATTTTCAGCACACACTGAGTAATAAAATCAGGAATAATCAAGCTATGCAGCAGCTCATATTTTGGTTAAAAGAAAAACGTGATGTATATTTATGTATCCGAGTGGCTGTAGTTTTATTTATATTCAACTCAATTCAGTATCATAAATTGTAATAAAAATGTTTGAAATTTCGCTATTCAAGAATAATGCTAAATAATATATATGTCCATATTTAATCAATGCAAATAACGTCACTGGTTGAATCAATAAAATATCCTAATAATCACAGTACCGAACATCACATTTTCTTCATCAATCAGCCAACAATTTAGTTGGAGTATGGTACTACATCATTTTAATTAAAATTAGTGTTTTCAACCATAATCCACCAGTGACATTGTTTCCACTGGTTCAGATTAAGAGAACAAACTACTTAAACATTAGTATATGTCAAAAAGATAAAAAAAAAAAAAAAAAAAAAATAAAAAAAAAAAAAAAAAAAACAAAAACAAAAACAAAATGAAACAAAACAAAAAATAAAGAAATATGAAAAAATTCTTTCCAACAGGAATTCATGGATCGAGTTATCAAATTGCATATTTCGCATGAATTCCCAGTGGAAGAGAATCTGTGGAAAAAAAATTACGCGCGATGAAACAAAAAATTGACGAAACAAAAATCATAAAGCGACATAAATAATCATAATGTTATTTCATCCGTTTGTAACGAAGGTCACGTACAGATTATAAATTTTCATCTCTTTAAATAAACAAAAGAAAATAATATATAATTAAAAATAAAAAAGTAAGAGAAAGTTGAAACAGAAAGAGAATAAGGACAAAGAGAGAGAGAGAGAGAGAGAGAGAGAGTGAGTATATAAAGAAGGTTGTAAAAGAGAGAGATAGAGAATTAGAAACATTAAGTAGTGGTGTATTGGTATTACCGTTCGGGTCCGTAACAATCGGGTACAGTGATTGAGGCTTTGTACTGTTGGGCGCGTACAACACAGCAACATTGGATGGTATTCATTTGTTCGTTTCACATTGGCGTGGTGGTGATGGTTGTCGGTGGTAGTTCATTGGGCGTGAATGGTCCATATTTGTTCACACCCACCACAAATAGACCCCGTGGCGGTAGAGTTGGGTTTCGGGCGCATCGTATCATTTGGTGGTGGTGGTGGCAGGTTTTTTCGTATGCGCACGAAGAAGGTGATTTGTGAATCCAGAATTTCAGGGCCACGGGGCAGAAGACACGATCGACATAACAACGACCCCCATTGGTCGTGATTGGTAGTGGTAGTGGTGGTGGTGGAAGGGGCAACCGGCACCAGGGTCGGGGCAGGGCCAGGGCACAAAACCATCAACCAAGTTAGAACCACGTCAGAAAACGACGTTGTACGAGACCTCGCTCGTATTTCTTTTTGTCTTCTATATTTATATTCTTATGGTATAAACATTACAACTAGGTTTTTTTTTCCGTCGAGAGTTATGCAACCTTATTGCCGAAGTGCTTCCTAATTATTACTGGCAAGGTTCGACTCTAGTTTGCATACACATTCAATTGTTGTTTTCTTATTTTTTATAGATACATATACTTTATACATGGGGATCGGATACAGTTTTTCATGACAACGTAATACTTAAAAATCGATTGTTCATGCTTTTAGGTGTATAACAATGCTTGGATGTGCTTTTACAAGAACTAGTTTTTAAAAAAGTTTTACGATTTTCTACTTCAGTGATTGTCCTCACAAAGATCTTGGGTTGTCCAAGTAGGTACTGATCTCTATTTTGGTGAGTTAAAGCACTGGTTCTTAATATACACAACGTAGATACGTAAAAGGTAGTGACAGACAGCCTGGAGGTTGAAATGCATGTTTTTTGAAGGTCATTTAAGAGTAAAAATAAAGGTTAAACCTTTTTTTTTAAATTTATTTGAGAATTAGAAAAGACATGAAAGTTTAGTTTGGAAACATGTTTACCTAAGATGAAAATAAAAGTCATTTGCATCAGAAAAATTTGGCGGTACGTTAGGCGCAGTAACGTTACCTGGACCTAAATTCGGTTTGTTGTTCTTATCGAGCTGTAGTTTTATGATACTAGCGAGGTAAACTGGTTGATTTCGTATACACTGTAAAACATTATAACAATCGATTTTAGGTAATACTTAAATCACATAAACTGCTTTATATTTCCATATGGCTGGTGAAATATATTTTACAGCGAAAATAAAGAAATCCATACAAGTGAAAACTTGTATTTGGATGATTAAAATTATTTGTGCGAGAAATAATAACCAAAATGCTACGCGTAAGTGAAAATAGACGATCCTAAATGAGTTCATTGGCTTAAAAAAAATAAATAAATAAACAAAAGTATAAAAAAAAAAAAAAAACCAACTGTGATACACACGTTTGGAAAAATAGGTGCATGAGCATGTTTAGAAAACGCAGCATTTTTCATATGTATTTCTCGCCGATCCCCGTCAC